TGGCTGAAGAAGTAGTCGTAGTAGCAGTAGTAGTAGTAGTCGTCGTCGTCGCCGCCGTTGTCGTCGTCGTCGTTGTCGTAGTAGTAGAATTCGTCGTAGTAGTAGTACTAGTAGTCGTCGGAGTAGTCGTATTAGTAGTAGTGGTAGTAGCAGGAGTGGTAGCAGTAGTAGAAGTAGTAGTAGTCGTAGTAGTAGTGGTAGTAGTGGTAGTGGTGGTAGTAGCAACGGTAGTGGTAGTAATAGTGCTAGTAGTAGTAGTAGCAGTCGTAGTAGTAGTAGTAGTAGTAGTAGTAGTAGTAGTAGTAGTAGTAGTAGTCGCAGTCGCAGTAGCAGTAGCAGTAGTAGTAGCAATCGTAGTAGTAGTAGTAGTAGTAGTAGTAGTAGTAGTAGTAGTAGTTGTAATAGTAGTAGTAGCAGTAGTAGTAGTAGTAGTAGCAGCAGTCGTCGTAGTAATAGTATTAGTAGTCGTCGGAGTAGAAGTCGTAATCGTAGTAGTATGGGCAGTCGTGCTCGAGAATGAAGTAGCAGTAGCAGGCGTAGTCGTAGCCGTAGTCGCAGTAGCAGTGATAGTAGTAGTAGCAGCAGTAGTAGTAGTAGTCGTCGTAGTCGTAGTCGTGGTCGTAGTCGCAGTCGTAGTCGTAGTAGTAGTAGTAGTAGTAGTAGTAGTAGTAGTAGTAGTAGTAGTAGTAGTGGTAGTAGTAGCAGTAGTAGTAATCGCAGCAGCAGTAGTCGCAGTAGCAGCAGTAGTCGTAGTAGTCGTAGTAATAGTGGGCGTAGTAGTTGCAGTAGCATTTCCCAACCATCCTGTGGTGTTGGGTTCTCGTTTTGAAGAGACGGTGCCCCGCGTTTCCTTCCTCCTCCTCTCCTCCTCCGCCTCCTCTCCCCTCCTATCATCCTCATCGTCATCATCATCATCATCATCGTCATCATCATCATGGCACACCCCTCACACGTTTCGTGGCCCCATAGGGAGCTCCACCGAAGGTCCACGTGGCGCAGCTCGCATCGCGCCACCGTCCCTTTTTGGCACACCCCTCACACGTTTCGTGGCCCCATAGGGAGCCCCATTTACGGTCCAAGTGGCGCAGCTCGCATGGCGCCACCGCCCCATTTTGGCACACCCCTCACATGTTTCGTGGCCCCTCAGGGAGCTCCACCTGAGGTCCAAGTGGCGCAGCTGGCATGGCGCCACCGCTCCTTTTTGGTACACCCCTCACGCGTTTCGTGGTCCCTCAGGGAGCTCCTTTTGGCACACCCCTCACACGTTTCGTGGCCCCATAGGGAGCTCCACCTGAGGTCCAAGTGGCGCAGCTCGCATGGCGCCACCGTCCCTTTTTTGGCACACCCCTCGCACGTTTCGTGGCCCCATAGGGAGCTCCATGCACGGTCCAAGTGGCGCAGCTCGCATGGCGCCACCGCCCCATTTTGGTACACCCCTCACAGATTTCGTGGCCCCTCAGGGAGCTCCACCTGAGGTCCAAATGGCGCAGCTCGCATGGCGCCACCTCCCCTTTTTGGCACGCCCCTCACACGTTTCGTGGCCCCTCAGGGAGTTGCGCCTAAGGTCCCAGTGGTGCAGTTCGCATGGCACCCCTTCACACGTTTCGTGGCCCCACAGGGAGCTCCATCTCAGGACCTGCGCGCGTCGCTGGGGCCCCTCCGCGGCGACCTGCGCGCGTCGCGGGGACTCCGCGTTGCTTTGCGCCCGCAGCTTTGGATTTTTGGAGCGCGCAGGCAAAGAGGGGGGAAACGAAGGGGCGGAAGCGGGTGCGATCCCCGTGAGGGGCGTGCCGACATGGGCGTCGCGGCGCGCGGGCGCTGCCGTCGGGGTTCCCGCGGAAGCTGCCTGCGGCGGCCACGCCCAGTGTCACGAGTGTTCGGACAGGCGTGTTCGAGCCATTCACATTCATATACATTTACACTCGGCGTAACCAAGATCGCATTCATGCAAATATGCTCACTCCCACGCAGACCCATTCACACTCAGACTCTCTCGCGCTCCGGCTCACCCGCGTTCATTCTTTCGTAATCTGACCTATCGTATTCCTTTGCGTTGTGTACCCCGCCATATTTCGGCATACCCCTCATGCGGTTCGTGGCCCCATAGGGAGCGCCACCGAAGAAGGTGCTCACAATTGCGGCACTCACAACTGCATATGGTTGGGTTTTTCGCCAGGATAATTTTTGTAGTAGCCGGAGTAGTCGTAGTAGTAGTAGTAGTAGTAGTAGTAGTAGTAGTAGTAGTAGTAGTAGTAGTAGTAGTAGTAGCGGTAGTAGTAGTAACAGTCGTAGTCGTAGTCGTTGTAGTAGTGGTGGTGTTTGTCGCAGTCGTACGCGTAGCACTGATTGTAGTGTTAGTAGTGGTGGTCGTAGTGGTGGTGGAGGTGGTTGATGTGGTGGTGGTGGTGGTGATTGTTCTGGTACTGGTTTAGAAGCCTCGAAGTCGTCATTTTTTATTACTGTTGCCGTAGCCGTAGATCAGTGGTGGTGATTGTTGTGG